ATGTGTTTTGGCAAATGTAAGAGAATATTGAATTAAGGATGTTGTATAGTAAAGTGTTTTCCGAATACATTCCGTAGTGTTTATGAAAGAAGTAAAAAAAAAAGACCTATTTAACATAAAATATGAATAAATATTACTTTTTGATTTTTAATACCATTTTGGTTCATTATTTGTTACAATATTTATTTAAAAGTATTGTAATAAATAATGATAGATTAAGAATGTAAGAATAACATGAATTTTTTAAATCATTGTTTTATGTAATTTTATAACTAGTTAATTTGATTTTGGATATATGGGCACTATGGTTTGACTCTATGGAGGACTTATGTAGGATCCTATAGTAACATTGCATTAGTAGTAGTAAACATTGGAACAAGCTGACAGACTGCAAAAACTTTATTTACTTCACAATTAATTCATTAACAACATGTATAATCTCTGTAAATAAAAACATCTGTAAAAACCAATAATGAAGACATCCATGTTTTGGCAACAAATAGAATGTACCATTTAAAGTCCTGTAAACCCACTAAATTGCAACAAGCATGGCTGATGAGTGACAAATAAACTGTTTGAAATGCATATCTTATTTGTAATAAAACTGTGTTCACCTATTACTGTTTGATTACTTTGGCAAATATCAATAGTGTGTTATATAGTGTGTTATAAGTCCTTAGATTCAAACCTTAGTGCTCATATATCCAAAATTGTAATGTAAGGACTAAAAACAAATCACCAATAGTTAATTTGAACTAAAATAATTTATATAGTTTTTCTGTTTTGGATTAAAACGCTTCTAATCTTAAATTTGTAAATGATAATGAAAAGTCTAAAAAGCTTTATAGTTTTATAGGATATATGCTTAACAAAAAAGTACTTCCTAATTCTTAAAGAAGCATTTTAAATTAAAGTAATATTTCAAAAAAATGCGTTGTCATTTATAAGAAAGACAAAGGTTGTTAATTATCTAACAGTGGTTAACTATATTTCTATTTCTTGTTCCCTAAAAAGCTGAAAGATATATCTTTCTAGCTAAATTTTATCTTACTATAATTGAAAAACATTTCAATTAAACTATTTTACATCTTTTAAAATTGAATGTGATGACGAATGAGGAACTAATTTATATGAAAGAAACTGAAGCATTGAGTAACAAATTCCAAAAGTTTATATTTTCTAAATGTTTCAAGGCATAAGTTAAACTTTTGGAATTCATTACTTAATATTTCACTTCCTCTCAAATAAATTATTTCCTCATTTATCAACAAATTCAGCCTCTGAAGATACAAAATAATTTATTCTTAGATTAAAAATTTTCTTAATAAGATATTTAATTCTAAATTAAAATTGGATGGTAAAGATTGGTCTGAAACATAATCAAAATGCTGCTAATGAGAGGTTAGCCGATTGGGGTGAGGAGTTTTCGACAGCCGAGTGGTCAATTCTGTCGTGTGGGTGCAGAATGGCTCACCGAGACAGGTTTACCATATAAAACCGTTTAATAAAATACATAAATTGTGTTCTTACAATAATTCAATAAGTCAGGCAAAAGCCTATCCAGCAATGGGTTACTATAACAGTTCCAAAAAAAAAAAAAAAAAAATGGAAAAGTTTGACTGTTCAATCGGTCCTTGGGTATTTTCGGTATGCTGGACGCAGAGAATGATGGCCCCAGGGCATGCACCAGCACTTGTAGAGATGTCCTCAGTGGACGAGTCAATCCTCGAAGATTCTGGATGTGACCTCGGCGATTCTGGACGAGGCAGCTTCCCGAAACCAGCAGGGGAACACTATGAACCAAAACCCAAGACCTCGTCAAGTTCCCAAAAACACAGTTTTATCGATTTTTCCACCACAGTCGCCTCTCCATTGGTCTCTCCTCGTCACATGGTGACAATTCGAAACCCAACGAAGGGCAAGGGAGAGGTTAATGTAGCATTGGAACATGACTCCTCTCCAACCTTGTTTTCCTCAACTTTACTCTATCTATTGTTTAAAATCTTTTAACAAGACAAAAGGTTCATTGTTTAAATCCGATCTTTCGCGCTACGAAACTTGACTCATAAAAAAAATTGTTAATTGCCTCCCTTCGGACCCCATTTGGGTCCTCACACTAAAATATTTAGCAGTATTTTGATTTAATCAGAGGAATCTATTTTATAGTGAATATTATTTGTAATTAATTAAAACAAAAGTAAAATTATTGGAAAAATTTTTGTGCGCCATTGCAATTTTTAATATCTTGATTTTAAGAGATTTTAGTAAAAGAATCATTTGGCTGGAACAATGTGGCAACTTAGTAGAGTTGTCAGGTGTCACAGTTTTCTGGGATTGTCCTGGATTTTTTCTGACTGACATCTAGCAACAGGTAGGGATTCCCAATACCAGTATCATGAGTAGTTTTAAAGTATCAATACAGATATCGGTATTGATACCAGCATTGGATGTCGAAACTGGAAATCTTGCAGGCTGTTGCTATTCAGTTTGTGGCCTGATTTTGAAATGTTTTGTGTAATTGAAACCTTTAATTTTAATATAAATAACATGCTTCATTCTAGTTGGTTGTTATTAACAAAGTATTAAAACTGATTTCAATGTTACTGTACTATATCAGTTCAATTGAGATATTAATATATTTTTAAGTTTTTCAAATAATTGGTAAGTTATTTATAAATAGTAATCTGAAATGAAATTTGATGCAATAAATTTATTGATTTTTGATCATTAATATTTATATCAGTTTAACTTAACCAAAAATAGTGTAAGATTTGGCTGTAAAAAACCAAAACGAACTTTAAAATCCAAATTCAGATTTGGTTTTGGATTTGGCTACAAAATCCAATTTTGATCAGATCTTACATGTCTGTGAAAAATGTAATGATACCAGATTCAATACCTCAAGAAAAGAATTGATACTGGTATCAGTTTTAGACCAAAAGTATCAAGTATATAAAGTACTCAGTATCAAAGAAAAGTATCAATATGATATTGTAAAGATATTGATATTCAGCAGTCCTCTTGTTGCTAGGGGCAACCCTAGCAACAAGAGGACTTTATTCTCAAAACTGTTCTTACAATGAAACATCTTTTTCTTTTTTCCACATGTTAAATGTATTTCTGTCACTGGCAGAGTAAAAATACACTTATTGCATGTCTTGGAATTAAAAAGTCTGTATTTTTTGCAAAGAACTCATTTTGACCTGGATTTTTATCCCCAAATACCTGGCCCAACCTACAACTTAGCCATTTAATAATCACTTATGACAGTCTAATGATTTTAATTATTTATATGTTATGTTTAAATTATAGCCAATATAAAAATATTGGCTAACATTCATTTTATATAAAACATTTTAAGAATTTTCTTTTAATTTAGTATATATTTTTTCATATTGTGAAGTGTATTTTTTCAAAATTTCTTTCATAATCATTTGATTTTTTTCTTTCATTCTTGGATGCAGTCTATAAGTAATGTATATTTTGAACTATTTTAATTCAAAATATACATTTCTAATTATTATTTGAAATGATCTAAATATAAAATTAAGAACATTATTTTTCCATGTTTTAAAAATTTTTATTTTGCAAATTTCCAGATTTTTTAAAGAAAATTTAATAGCATTATCAAATTTCTTAACATATTTTTGAGCAAACTATAAAAATAATTTTCAATTTTTATTTTCAGATGCTAATAAATATAATTTTGAAATGTTTATATTCAGTGATTTTTATTATCTATAAATGAATATCCTAACTTNGGAAACAAGCTTATAAATTCCATTTTTATAAAAGTCACAATTTTTAGAGTTGAAAAACTTCCCTAATTCCGTTTCTATAACCTCTCTATTTCTAATATAATATTCTCCTATAGACATGTTCTTATATTATTATTTTACAAACGTCAATTGCCAAGAAAATTTGTTATGGACCAAAAAGTTACAGATGGTTTCCACTTTTATAGAACTGCATTGGAAAATATTCCAATTACTTGAATACAGTAGTTTCTTCCAATGATGAAGAGAATGCTGCCATTTCAAGTCAGTTCATCTCAACTTTTCCATTGCATTAAAAATCTGCAAGTGAGATTTGACCAATTATGTCACTTTTGGTCAATAAATTTCATGTTAGTACAACTGTTAACAACTTGATAAACAGCAAGTGCTTTTTAAATGTTGGAATTCGTTTTTAATACACTTTTTTCATGGTGATATGCTAAAAGTCTTTTGAGAAAAAGTTTGAAACTGAAACTGTCAGTGAGAATCACTGGATGGATTTTCCACTGCAGTTATCCACAAGGATTTTAATCTTTTCTCTTTCCACAATATAAGGTGGGAGCCAACCTTCAGAAATCATTAAAAATGAGGTCTGAATTATTTTATAGATTATGGAAGCTTTTTATTTTTAAGCCATATATTTTTATTAATGACATATATAACATATGCATTTGCATTGTCTTGGAATAAACATATAGTTTTATTGTATTGAAATATTTTTTCTCAGTGCATTATTAATATGTTAAAGGACTTTGAGTAATATTTACTGTTGATTGTTAAATAATGAGATAAGAAAAAGTTCATATAAGCAATTCCTTTCATGTCCTGGAACTTACCTGTTGATAGAATTTGATTTTGATATGATAATTGAATTCATTTCCACTCTTTCTTACATGTAATTTAAGTATAAAATGATGTGCTCAGGTTTCATTATGTTATGATTTGATTCAAACAACTTTGATACTTTTCATTAAAATGCTGCTTAAGTTTTTGTAAGTGCAATTATTCATCATGATGGAAAGTACTGGATTACTTAATTATCTTCTGGAAAACAGGTTTTTATAGATATTAAAATCAGTATTGTTAATACTTAATCTTTATTTTAAATAGAAAAGTTTTATTTAAATACTGATAATTTATATAGTTCTTTTCAATTATTCTTGTTTGATATGAAATTTTTAAAAATTTTAAAATGTAGTTTAACCATTTGATATTTATTTTCAGGTTTGGAACGTGTTGCTGAAGAATTAATGGGGGCAGGGAAATGGAAAAGATTAACAAAACCTTTTAAAGGTAATCATGTTAATGAATGTTATAATAATTCTTGTAAACAAAGAAAATATTAAGGAAATAAAGTAAATAAATTTATTTTATAATCATCATATAACTGCTTGAGGGGTATAAACAAGTTTGAATATATATTTAAAAGCTTCTTGCCTGCATTACTGTTTTTATAAAATAATAGTTAACTAGAACCAATGGATCAAGTTTATTACACACTCAGTGAATTTAATTAATGAAATGTCAAATTTAATTAAACATCAACTGTATGAACATATAGAATTAATAAAAACAAATAAAAACAGAATCAATGATAGTAACAGGCATGAAATAAATGAAATGTGATAAGATTTTAAATATAAAAAGTTATTTATAGTTTAATTGTTAAGAATTCCATAGTCACATAATATCCAGTGGTCAGCAGAAATACATCTGTTAGGTAATAACAGATGTTAGAAAAGCAGTAATAAACAAGCAGTAAAACCCTAGGAGTAGCAACAAAAATGTGTTAAATGTAAGTACAAGTTGACATATTCTTGTTGTTTATTTGCTAAATGAACTCACTGTTATAAATTTGATAATAGAGAGATTGCGGCTGATGTTTTCATCGCAAAAACGTGTATGTTGGACATTCAATGCTGCCCTCCTGTGAGCCTAGAAGTTTGACAATGGCATTTGGAATGTCAAGCATGATTCCACTGACATTCCAAATGACATTGTCAAACTTCTAGGCTCACAGGAGAGCAGCATTGAACATCCAACATACACATTTTTGCGATGAAAATGTCAGCCGCAACCTCTCTATTATGACAGTATGATAATGACAAAAATTTGTATGAAATATGAATAACAACTATAATATAATGAAAAAATTAAAAACAATCCAAAAATAGGAAATGCAAAGACAGCTAACATAGCCTATAAAAAAGATATGGTGGATGTGGATGAAAAGAGTACAGTTTTAACCAGAAAGAAGACACAAGATCTATATTACAAGTTTTTGCACCCTTGTTTGAATTGTAATTCAGTTATGTGAGTGGTTTGTCTATATGCTATAATTATTCTTTAAACCTTGTGAATCATAACAAGGTAATTTGAATAACTTATCTATATGTTATATTATGTATCAGGTAACCAAAAAAGTTCTGTCGTTTTTTGTTGAAAGAAAACAAACATAAAAATGTATAGGAAATAACAATTTATTCATCAAAATAACCACCCTCACATTCAATAACCTGTTCCCAACGGGAAACAAGCTTATAAATTCCATTTTTATAAAAGTCACAATTTTTAGAGTTGAAAAACTTCCCTAATTCCGTTTCTATAACCTCTCTATTTCTAAACTGTCAATTTCGCAGATGATTATCTAGGCTTAAAAATAGGTGATAGTCAGAAGGGCTAATGTCAGGGAAATAAGGAGGGTGCAAANAAGTGGATCCTTATTAGTGCATAAAATTCTAAAAACTGTTGGATTATGCTTATAGACAAGGTTTATGTTGTTCATTTTAGTCAGTTCCTTGTGTATGTGCCTTAATATATAAGGTGGTATCAGAAAGTTTCTGGACTAGACCTATAAGAATTTACAGGATAATGTTGTTAGAATTTATTGACCATCCCCTTCAAAATAGTCCATTTGAGAGTAAATACAGTGATTCCAGAACTTCTTCAATGACTCAAAGCACTGTGGAAATTACTTCCCACAAGCTATCCAATACTGCCTGCAATTCCATTTCGATTTCATCAATGGTTTTGAAGCAATGTCCTTTCAATTTCATTTTCAGGAACAAGGCAAAGTCACGGGGACTGTCAGGTAAGTAGAGTTTGGAATAACCACCATTCTGGCACAATGTGCTCTCTCACACCTCTCTGAAAACAATGTGTGAGAGGATGCATTGTTGTGATGCAACAGCCAATTGTGGTTGCACCACAGTTTCAGTATTTTTTATCTTACATTTTCTCAAAACATTGCAGTAAACCAAACCCTCTTCTCAGAGATTAGTTATGAAAACATATTTCTTGGTATTTCAAAAGAATTAATTAAGCTTTGTATCAAATAAGCAGTAAACCCATATTGTTTGGCAACCTTCTCAATATAATTCGACTTGATGTAAGTATCATAAAACATTCTTTAAACTTTGTAGTTTCACAAAAAACGACAGAACTTTTTTGGTTACCTAATAATTTAAACTAAGTTGTACATCTAAGGTTTAATTATAGTGTTAATGATTGTTATCAGAGACTCTGTTTTTTGAGATTGCTATTATCGTTTGTAAGATCCAATTGAAAAGGGCTAGACAGGCTAAAATGCATATTGGAAAAATAAAAGGGTTAATTAAATTTGTTGAGAGGGTAATTTAGCCTGATTTATTGGTTCTGGTTAACTATTATCTTGTAAAAGTCAGAATATACTTTATTTGTCTAAGATATTCTAGTATCTTTATACCTTCAAGTAGTTGAAGTTATCTTTTATATACTCATTAAGTCAACTATGCATGAAATGATGTTCAAGATCAGTAAGCTTAAATATTATCATATTTTATGAATTATTTTATTTTTATTGTTAGTCATTGTTAATCATAATTAAAAGAAAGTGAATTTTTGCAAAAATTTACTTTCTTTTAATTTTATATATAAAATATTAAAAGATTTATTTAACAGTTTGAACTGCAAAAAAATATTTTAATCAATTAAAAAAAATGGCATAACTATGATTTTGCTCAGGGGTGATCTGGAAGGAAGATCTAAAAAGTACAGTCAGAATAAACAAAAATTAAGCATACCATAAAGCACCATTTATTTATAAACAACAAAGTCATTACAATTTAAATACAGCTTATAGTAGGATTCAAGTTCTCTAGGTTTCATTCCTAAGTCATTTATAATTTCATCTATGTTCACCTGCAGTTTTCTGTGAACAAAGAGCAAAATAATTTGACAACACTGGAGAAGTAACCAAATGAAAGAAATAGTACACCATGTATAACTCCAGCAATATATTTAATTAACCAAAAACAAAAACATTTTTTGATCTACTTCCACAGGCCTTCTTTAGTGGAACATCAAACTTAAATGAAAAAAATAACAAGAAGAACATTCAAAATACATATTAATTTAAATGCAATAGAAATAATTATAATTAAAAAGAATGGGAAGAATGTTTTAAATCAATAGAACATTTGTACATTTCAAATACAAGTAAAATGGCAAGGCCATTTTTGGGAAGACACTATGTCTCGGAAACTCAGGACTCAACTGCACACTGTTTTCTAAGGAAAAGAGAAAAATGAGCACTAACCGATGAGAAAAAGCTGACACTGGTACTTGGGGTCCTGGCATAGATTACGGTGGGCTTCATTGCCACCGTGGTTATGATGGGTTGTGTTGTCATGGGCCTGTTCTTGGCTATGGTAAGTGGGAAGATATTTGTACCCAAATTGTCCCAATGTTACTCTCTTGCTCTCGTCGTTTTGTCATTCTGCAAAATGACAAGAGAAAGAGAATACACACATAATGTGTGTCACATGTTTGTCAAAATTTGATTTCACAGCGTCTGCATTTCAAACTTCCCAACAATCAACCCATGCACAAATCTCACACTAGTGCCTTTTTGTAGAAATGGTATTGCCATTTTGTATTTTATTTTGACTCAGTTTTCGGTCCCCTGACTATCTACAAGTCTGGTTTTTTTATGTGCACCAAATACACTGTGCCAAATTGCAACTCCTGACATGTACTCCTTCATACCTCTAAGGTGTCTAGCCATTGACAGCAGCCTATTTTATAGACAAGACATAGTCTCATCAACGAGGGATATAAGAAATAAATAAATAAATACATAGTGTAATCAAAACTTAAAAATTTAACTACAAGCAAATGTAAATGGTACAAAAATAAAATAAAAATAGTAATAAAAATAAACAATTATTGGGAGATCAAGCCTAAGTTCATATGTAGATTTTCATGTCGTTGATAATGTATAAGCATCCCTATGATTGATACAAAGGTGTTTTCTATTTGCTTTAAAAATTTTTAGTAACTCCAAGAACTTGATAGATTTAGGGCTCCTGGCAGGTCTAATGATCTTAGCCTTTACATTGAATTTACATCCTGCTTAGAGGCATCAGCTGCTAAAACCATGGTGTTGAAATTTTTTCAACAACATATTTATATTTCTTAATTCTTTGTAGTAGTGTGCATCTGGTAGTTCTCACATATGTTAATTGCATGTTGAAGTACTGATACTCATTTGGAACGGCATAAACATTTGAGGAGTTGGTGTAGCTAAGTGAATTGCCTAACACCTATCTTTAGTATCAAATTACTTACAATTTAAATATTAATAATAGTGGAAAAATATCCCATTTCATTACAGTGATCTTTTGACTTTTACTAAGTGGATCCTTATTAGTGCATAAAATTCTAAAAACTGTTGGATTATGCTTATAGACAAGGTTTATGTTGTTCATTTTAGTCAGTTCCTTGTGTATGTGCCTTAATATATAAGGTGGTATCAGAAAGTTTCTGGACTAGACCTATAAGAATTTACAGGATAATGTTGTTAGAATTTATTGACCATCCCCTTCAAAATAGTCCATTTGAGAGTAAATACAGTGATTCCAGAACTTCTTCAATGACTCAAAGCACTGTGGAAATTACTTCCCACAAGCTATCCAATACTGCCTGCAATTCCATTTCGATTTCATCAATGGTTTTGAAGCAATGTCCTTTCAATTTCATTTTCAGGAACAAGGCAAAGTCACGGGGACTGTCAGGTAAGTAGAGTTTGGAATAACCACCATTCTGGCACAATGTGCTCTCTCACACCTCTCTGAAAACAATGTGTGAGAGGATGCATTGTTGTGATGCAACAGCCAATTGTGGTTGCACCACAGTTTCAGTATTTTTTATCTTACATTTTCTCAAAACATTGCAGTAAACCAAACCCTCTTCTCAGAGATTAGTTATGAAAACATATTTCTTGGTATTTCAAAAGAATTAATTAAGCTTTGTAT